TCTTGTGCGCTATATGGGAACTCTAGGGTTGGGGAGAGATTATTAAGCAGAAGGGAAGGAGGTACAAGAAAGGAAATACACCAAAAGAAAGGCTGCTCCTAGTGGTCCTTTGAATTCCCTTTGACCTCCTCATGTTTGGTTAGGAAGGAAGTACTCTTTAGTGATAATATTAAGAGCAATGTCTTGCAATTCCAAAAGGGATGAGCAAAAAAGGTTTGTAAAACTTTTAGTGAAATTGTTTGAAGTCTGAAAAAAAAAATACAAAAAGCTTTTTTAAAAAAAAGTATCCAAAATGAATTGTTTCATAACGTAGTGGAGTTATGTTACAAAATGGCAACGCTTTGTTTTCACTGCTCTTTGTTATACATTTATTCTACATCTCATATAATTTTATATTATTTCCTACCACACAAGGAAGAAGTTACATTTAACACGTATTGCCACTGCCAGCTCTGTAACCCAACTGGTAGAGCTGGAAATAGCTGGCATGGTGTTTTTATCTGATATAACAACATAGCATATTATCTGTCTTTCACCCAAAGATTTGTACTTATTGTTAAATCACTTTCATTCTGAAAGGACACCTTATTCCACTTTGTGTGTATAAATCACCTTCTACGCTTCGTGGTGTATAAATCATCTTATCCCTCTTTTTATGGGAAAGTCATTTTGAGTTTAATTTTTTGTTCTGTAAAATGGGGGTAATGACTTTCACAAACTCCCTCAGGTCTCATGGGGTCAGCTGTGCTGCTGTCTCCTTCTCTTACACTAGGAAGTTTTTCCAGTTATCCCTGGAAACATTTCTTCCTTTTCTGAGCACTGCTGTTCCACCTCTTAGCCTGGCCTGTGCAATGTTTCAGGTCACAGACTCTTTCAATACCGTGCAAGAGATGCGCTGGTGACCTGGGTACGTGTGTGGAGGTAGAAAAGGATAAAGATTACTTTCTCTCTTCTCCCAAAGGCTCTTCCATTAACATTCCTATGATACATCTTACTTAGCATATTCATGGCTTTAGGCTTCTTGTGTCCGTTATAGCCTTCTAAAGACAGTGATAAAACTTTATTTGCTGTATTAGAAGAAATCTTAGATGCCCAGTCATTTTAGTAGGTTCAGAACAAATCTTGTTTTGTAAGCGTTACGTAAAGATGAAAGCCAATACCACAGCTAGTGAAATCAGGAATGGGACGCTTGAATTGACTAACACTGCCAACATCCAGTAGCTATTCTTGGATTTACAGGGTCTCTTCTTGAAAACTCTGTCTTGCAGGGCATACCATCCCTAGAGACCCAGAAGAGTGACTGATTCTTTCTCTAAAGAAACTTGATATAATGGCATAGGTGTTAGCAGTTGGCCAAGGGCCTTGATATCAGCCTCTCACATTTAAAGGGACTCCTGGGCCAAAAGTGCAGAAAAGAGATTTGTTTGTTTTTTAAAAAAAAAGTTGCCTCAGTCAGAGATGTGTCAGAAGAAGCAGGTGCAGAATGACTCTGTGGAGGTAGGAAGTACTCCCCTAGAGACAGGACAGAGTTTCCCATTGTTCTTAATTTGTCAGAGCTGCTTGGTCTTTTGTTAGACAGGAGATAAAAGGCAGATTAAGAAATACAGTACGAGCATGCCTGTGCTGTCCTGCCTGACAGGAGGAAAGACCCAGACTGTTCCATTCCAATTAAGTTTTCTTTTTTTTTCTGTTTTCCTTGTCTTCGGATTGGGTTGAGACCCTTTAAAAATGTGTCTACATGGCACACAGCTCAGCAGGGCTCTGTTCACAAGGAGAGTTCATTGGCACCATGGTGAACGCCATTCCATTTTAACTCTTAACTATAAACAACAAAACCCTATGTGAAGGATTTGACTTTAAATTAGCACCGAGAACTGTTCCGCTTTGACCACTCTTCAGCTCAGCTTGGATTGCTGTTCTGAACCTTTGGGTTTGTCCATCCTACACTTTCTAATCGTATAGCCTCCCAAATTGTAACTAATGCTGTTGCTGTACTTTTGATAGGAATAATGGTTTTAGCATTAGCAAAGACAAGCTGCCAACATGATATTGTATTATAGTGACCATAAAGTGTATGTGTACCTTGAGGAGGATTAGGCAGTGCACCATTTCAAGCAGCAGTGGCTGACTACCTGATAGAAATACTCCTATGATACCAAGCAACCTTGACTTTAAAAGAAAACCCACAAATATTTTTATGTGACTGAACTCCAGTAACGAATACTATTTGTCCAAATTTCTCCATTTACAATTTTTAACTGTATTTTCCGAAGGGTAACCTTTTCGCTTACACCTTTTTGCTTTCTCTGTTTAAAGATTTCAATTGCTAAATACTGCTTAGGAAGGCTGTAAACTGGGGACACAGATCCATGAGACTTGCACATGGAAGGATCATCATAGTAATTGATGAGTAAAGTAATTAAACAAAAGTTCCTGACCTGGTGCTGACAGGCTGGGTGTGATCATAGGTCATGCAATACTTTCAGTTTTTTTTTAATATACGTCTTTAGTAACAGTAATGAGATTCTCATTGATTTTTGAGGTGCTTTGCAATCTTGTCATTTGGAGGTGTTTAGTATTTCTAAGAGGAGTTGAATAATTTCTATCAAATAATTTCAATCAAAATTGCATTTGGTAGCAAAGTGGGGATTTTTTTTTTTTTGCTGCAAGAAATGATTCATTAAAATACCTGCTTTGAAGGAGAAATTAAAAGAAATATTTCCATTCTTTTGAGGTTACTGTAGTTGTGCCATATGGCAGCTGTAGTTCAAGAATATAAGGACTATGCTCCACTTCCTTGTCCCCAACTTTTCCACTGCCTTTCACTCCCTCCTTTGTTTTCCTGTGTCCAAAACACTTTATTCCTTTTCTCCTAATCTCCAACATACCAGGAAAAGATTAAGCCGATTGTCTCTTTTGACAATTGTTTATTATTTTCCGTGGTGTTCTGCCCTGCAGTCCCTTCCTGTGCAGCGGTCCCTCACTGCCCTTACAGGACACGTTTCTGGGGACAGCACCAACTCTGCAAAGGCAGTGACTGGTAGTAGCAGACACCAATGCAATAATACAGGCCCCCTGAATAGAATCGCAAAACCAAGGTTCATTGTATGAAGATTCAATTAGTTCTTTAAACACAAAAACTGTGATAGAACATACTGTACAAAACAGGATTACGGCCAAGTATTTATAGGCAATGCATTGCCCATTCCTACTCATACAATTAATGCAGCTGAGGTT